CAATAGGCTGTTGTCCATCTGGTCTGAGTAAAGTCATATCGGTTCAATGGACAGTGAGGGACTAAAGAGGTATTTTGCAGTATCTGCTGAAGTGTTACAGCAGTTCTGCTAACTGAATCAGCAGAGGCCAGTAAAAAGCAAACCACCGCATGCATTCCCTCGCTTTGCATAACATCTGCACAGAGGGTGCTGCAGCCCCATGGCGTTGAACTTGTTGCTTCTGCCATCCACCTCCCCGTCTGTCTCTGGCCTGGGTTCCTGCGGTGTCTGCAGGTGCAGCCTGCAAAAACGCATGCGGTCCCCAGGTGTAGAAGGGGAATTGGGACTTCGTGCACTTTGTCCTTGCAATGCCAACCCCATCTTTTATGGGAACTGCGTGTATGCAGGGTATCTGGTTGCATCCCCTGTCACTTCTTGCTTCCCCGTGATTGTAGCATAAGAGTCTGTCTCCTGTCAGCATCCCAAAGCACGCTGAAAGATGGGAGCTGTGTATCTTCTCTCTTACCGCTTCGGGCAACCTCTTTTGTATTTTAATGAATGTCCTTGGTTTGTGCTGTCTGTCATTTGTTGTGCCAGTGTTTGGTCCCACAGATAACTAGGAGAAAATAACCCATGAAGTAAAATTTTCACAAACAAACAGAATAACAAACACCTTTTGATGCTAAGAAGAGGAAGTCACAGCATTTACAGAGAACAGCAACTTAAGGAGCTGGAAAAAAAAAACCACTGGTGCAGAATTAGAAGGATGCAAGTGCATGTGTATGTTTAAAATTTAAAGAAATGTGTTTTGTTTTCTGTATATTCAGTGGTCTAATATGAGTTAGAGTGTGCCATTGTCTTTTCCTCAGGACAAGAAATGAGAAGGGAGGCTGAATTCCTGCTTCAGCAGATATTTATCTGTGTCCTTAACCCATGCGGTTGTATGATGATTTTTGTGATGATCTGAGAAATCATATGATGAGATTAGAACTTTTAAGAGCAAATATTCAGTTCTTCCATTTGTAGAGACAAGGGTGAAGAGAAGGCTCAAGGAATGGAAAGCTGATGAGAATCCAGAATTGGGGAGGGTGTGCTTGATTAGTTTGGGAGCTGCTTTTTAATTGGTTTTCATTTTTTGGTTTTTAAATTCTTTTTAAAATTGAGGTTAGGTGGAGATGCTGGCAGTCTTATTTGTGCTTTTGCAGATTTTCAGATTTTTCAAGAGGGAATGGGAGGCAGAATCTTATGCTGGAATTTCCTGGAAATTTCTTTTTTTGTTTTATTAAATGTGCAGATCTTCTGGTTTTGTTGACATTCTCATAAGCAGCAAGTGGGAAATTTGTAGTGTTGTCTTATTGGGGGATGGGTGTTACTTAAATAAGTAGGAGTTTCTTTACATTGTCAGCATTGAGTTTCCTGTGAGGTTTGTTTGTTTGGGGGGGGGGGGGGGGGGGGGGGTGTTAAAGCACTTAAAGAAGACCTACTCAGTGACAAGAGTCCATGAAGGTCTACTGGCCATGCAGGGACCCTCCCAGACCATAGAAGCCAAACATAGACTTTGTCACAGTTAGAACCTTCTTGTTGCAAAGGTCTAGAAAAATTCTGTGTTGAGATGAGATTGACACAGTCAGGCAGGCTAATTTAGTCTGAAAGAATAAGGTGAAGGAGAACTGTGCTGGCGTAGAAAAGCTGTTCTTATTACTAAAAATTGATTTTGACCTTTGTGGAGATACTAATTTCACCTCCTGATAAAAGAAAATTTTGGATGCTTGCTCCAGGTCAGGCATACAACACTTGAAAAATTCATCAGTGATCTCGATTTGTTTTCACATGTTTTTTGGCCTCCTACTGAGTTTTGTATGTCTGTTTCTTCTAGGTGTTTGCTTGCAGTTGGCGTTGCTTGTTGGTTTGAATCCTCGCTGCCTTGGCAGTTGAATAGTGTTGCCCACAGGTCCCAGCGTTGTTCTTCACTCCTATATAACAGGAATCCAATAATAAAAATGAGACAATAATCATAAATAAGACTGCAATAATAAGATGCCTTTCCAATTCTGTAATTAGTTGCCTTTGCTTGCTTTTCTGTTGCGTAAGACTTATGTTTCCTTCTGATTTTTATTAATTCTTAAGAAAGAGCATTGTCAAAAATTACCGCGTTTATTTAGACTACTACAGCGCCTTTGGCTCCTGTCATTAGGATAGCTTAGGGAAGAGTCTAACAAGAAAATAGCTCCCATGAGTTTGATGACGCAGTCTTTGTAAAAACCTTATTCTCATAAACTAACTTCTTTTCACAGTTATCCCAGGCAGTAGAATGACCCATCCCCCCAACCCATGTTCAAGGGTCAAGAGAAATGTCTGGGTTATGCTGTGTTGTTCCACATCAGAGAATAGGTCCACATGGGGTTTTTGGGGCAGAATTTCCTCTGTCAGCATTATACATTGAGAGCTTGGTAGCAGAATCACTTTTAATTAGCACATGTGGCAGTCGTTTAAATGTGTGTTTCTAGTGATGCTGGTGAAGAGCCACTAAACAGATGGGAAGAATTCATGTGGGTGTTTAGATCAGAACAATTAGTTGAAAAATTAGGAATCGTTCTTCTGTTGAGTGAGTATGAGTTAAAGACAGTGCTCCGGCATGCAGATTGCCTTTCCCAGGTTTTGTATAGCAAAGAGCCAAACAGATTTGCTCTGCTGTCTTTATTTCTTCTGAAACTGTTTGCCGAGTAGTATGTCTCATCCTAAAAATGGAGGTTGGTTTTGTTCCATTATTTGTTTGGTTGTTCTTAAATAAACTCTGGATCTAAAAAAAAAAAGAAATGTGACCTGCCCAGTTGTATATACTGGTTTGGTTTGCATCGATATTTGAAAAAGGAAATACGAGAGTAACAGAGTTTAGACAGATGCCCAAAGCCATCTGCCTCTCTCCTCGCGGTCATTAGACATTCATAATACAACAGCGTGAACATGGAACGGCCCTCCTTTCCTTCAGGACTACATTGGCTGGCTTTAAAGTGAGCAGTAAATGAAGTGAAGACATCTTGTAGGCAGACACAAACTTCCACCAGTTTTCAGTCTGATTTACATAAACTCAGTACTTCTCAAAAAGCTTAGCAATCGTTAGCTTTGCTAGAAAGCCATTTTGGAATGATGCAGGGTTGCTATCACAGATTGCAGCTAAGAAACTTGGGATCCTTGAGGGGCAGGATTACAGTTTCCCAGGGCTGGCTTAATCCAGCAGACTGTATATGTGTGGTTGGACAGAGCCCAAAGAGATAGTATAAAAATAATAAATTATTATTATCTGGAAGACATAAAGCTTAATAAATAAGTAATAAGTCGCAGCATTTTCCTTTTCTTAGAAGAATAGACTGGCTGTATTTGTTTTAATTTTCCTTTCATTGAGCACTTGCCTCTTGTTGCTCTAAGTACCTAAGGTGCTGAAATTTAGGATTAATTTTACAGAAACTAAGGAAGCTATACTGCTGCCCTTCAGGCTGAGAGAGAGAAGGAGAGTAGGGATGTTTTCTGGAAGGGGCTTCTGTGGACTTTGCTAGTGGGTAGGGAGGGCCTGGAAAAGCTGCACAGCTCCTTCCAGCAGCGTCTCCCAAGTGATGTAGTAAAGGAGACCCCACTGTGTACCTGCAGAGACATGGGCACACAGAGGTACGGTAATTTTCCCAGCATCAGCTCTCTGGTTAACATAAAACTAAATGTTCAGGGTGTCTCCCAAGTCCCATACCCATGCTTTGCTGGCAGCATAAGCTGGGGAAGATCTTTTAAACAGGCATAGGTAGCCTGCAATTTAAAAGAAGGCTGGGATGGGATTTTATCACTGGCCACCACCACTCTGCTGACACTGACAGGGATCCAGCCCTTGACCTCTAGCAGGGTGCAAGTTGGGCAGTGCAAAGTCCTTCTGAAAGTCCAGCCAACAAGCACATTTGGAGATCACCTCCTGTTTGAAGCAATGGTTTCTCTGCAGTCCTGGCCAGATTTCAGCCTGGATAACTCTGCTCCACCTGTTTAAAATCCTTCCCCAGTGTTTCACTGGGCATGGGCCCCTCCTGTTCTGCAGTGCTGCAACATTCCCCTTCCAGTTTTATACCACCTGCTCATAAATTGATTTCTAGATCCTCTGTGCCTCCAGTTATTAATCAAGCTGGATTGCTTGTAATTATTTCAAAGGATCTAAATGTGAAAACAGTAAGTATGTGCACAGCCTCAGTGCTGTACGGTGCAGTAGCTTCTCTTGGTGTTTATCTGCACCACCCAGCAGGTCATCGTACCTCCGTATTCCTTTTACCAGTGAGGTTTGGGTTCATCCACATTAGTCTGAACTGACCTGTTGCCCCCTGTGAGCACGTCCTTTTTGGTAGTGGAATTAGAGAAGGGCTCTCCGTGAGAAAGAGGGGAAACTGGTGCTCAGCGAAGGTGTGGGATCCACTCAGATCACAGGGTGGGTATCGGATCTGCTCTTCACATAGGCACAACAAGCAAGGCAGCACCTTTCCTTCCACAGGTGGCTTGCTAGAGGATTTTATACAGTGAGTTTATTTTGTGACCTCAAACTTCCACACAAAGTTTGCGCCCCTTCCCATTCATCCCTGCTTTCACTTCATATTTCTTTTTTTTTTTTTCCTCCCTCTTGGCATATCATTATGTTTTCATTAATGTATCAACAACAGGGCAACTGTTGTTGCTTTGTCCCTAGTATTGTCTTCTCCATCCAGACCTTGGAATTGGGAGATCCTTGAAATCCATGTCTCTTATGTGACTTTTAGGCAGAATCAGGTGCTTTACTTTCCCCCTTGCCCGCAAGTATTTCTCTCCAAGCTGTAAAATCAATCTGTTCTAGGTACTTTTTTCTTCTTAAATCTGACTGCTACTAACACTGTGTTTCTTTCATTAACAGATTAGCTTTAAAGGAAGCCTGTCGCCAACGGCCTGCCCTGTTGTACCCACTGCGTGGCAAGAAAACTCCGAGGAGAAGCTGAGGGCAAGCTGCATCTCAGAGACGGTCCATGGGGACTGTACCAGATCCTCTGAGATCTGCCAAGCTTTCCCTGGTCGCAGCTTCTGCAGAGGAGGACAACCTGGGAGACCTGCAGTCTGCTAACCGCCAGCCCCAACTACCCAGCGGCAAAAGGGCCAGCAATGGCTTCCTGTGCACACCGTCCGGCTCTGCTGGAGTTCGCTTGTTCGACCTGAAACGCACGCCGGCTGCCAGCACACAGAGCTGTGAGCAATGCCGCAAGGACGATGCTAGCCAGCAGGAAGGCTTTCCTCCCGGGCTCACCAGCAAAGCTGCAGAGGGGCATCCTGCAGCCATAGAGCCTGCTGGTTGCTCCCGGCCAGCGGGCAGCCAGGGACCGGCAGCGCCAGCCCCTGCTGCAGCCGGAGCCCCTTTGGTGGGAGGGGGGCCAGAGATGATGCCAGCCCCCCAGAGCTCCCGGCAGTTTGTGCAAGGCAACCAGGTGAAAAGGAGCTCCCTGACACAAATGGATGACTCTGCCTTGAAACCTCAGGGGAGTGATGATCAGCCGGCACTTGAGGTGTTAAATTATTCTTCCCCAGGCGACCCTATCAGGGGTAATGAGTCCTGTCGTACTTCTCAGGCAAACCTTCTGCAAAGAGGGGAAAAAGACAGGGGAGCAGAAAAAAATGGTTCTGCTGCATGTCAGTCAGCCTCGCCAGCAAGGCACACTGAAGCTGACCTGGGGAGAGACCCACAGACCAGTTTGGAGGTGAAAAGTGGGGCTGCAGACACCGCGCAGTTGCATCCCACAGGCAAAACTGAAGCGGTGCAGAGCAGCGAGGCACCGGCCCAGTCTAGTCACGAGAGTCTGCATCCCATACGCAACACGGACGCCGAGCCGGGGAGTCCAGGCCCCACCCAGGTCTCCAAATTCAGAGAAACGGGTACAATGACGGTTCAGCTGGAGAGCAGCTCTTTAACTCAGGAAGCAGTAAGCAGGACATGGCGAGATGCTGAGGTTCAGGCAGTGGCTACCGTGGAGAGCAAATCAGCCTCCACCAGTCCCAGCATCCTTGCTGCCTTCTTAAAAGGAAATCCTCCTCCAGAGGAGAAGGAAGAACTGCACATAATTTACCAGGGAGGTATGCGGCTGAGCCAGCCTGCACTTACTGACAGTTTATCCTCACAACAAATGTCCCCATGTTCTCCCGGTGTCACGGCAAAATCAACTGTTGTTATGGCTGCGACTGCTTCAGCCCAAACCCAGTCTGTCAAACTGCCTGGGGTCCCATCCGACGTGGTGTCTCCAGCAGCAGCAGATAATGCAAAACCTGTTCTCCCCTCCTCCCTTGCAGCCATTACCTCCCAAGGGACATCTGTGGGTAATGCTGAAATGATCGGTGCAGCCCGTGATGACAAGGATGCTGCTCAGCTGCCGATGGATGCTCCAGTCCCACCAAAGCCCATCCCTGTTGAGCAACTTGCAGTTGACTCGGGTAATCAAACTCCAGCACGGTCTGGGTCTGGCACTGGCGAACCAAGCACCACTTCTGCCACCGCTGTCCCAGGAACCAAGAGCAATGTGCAAGATGTTGTCCATGATGCAGGAAGCAGCCAGTTACCCTTACTCTGTAGCACAGTCAGCGAAGTCAAGCAGAAGGAGGTCCCGGGCAGCTCTGAGCAAAAGCCTGTGCAAAGTAAGGGTGCGAGTCAAGGGGAGGTGATTCCTAATCAGTCTGTGGTAAAACCAAAGGAAGAAAACTCAGTGGTGCTTGATCCTAAAGGAGGGATGAATGTTAGCAGCCAACATGCCGCTGTCCGCATACAGGCCCGCTCGAAGGATGAAAAGGAGAGCAGTGGCCAGGGAGACGCTGGCCAGGCTCAGGCAGCTGGTGGCCAGAGCCTGCAGGCAGGACTGACACCCGAGTTGAGTGCCAGTTCTACACGTCTTGACCCCCCCTTGGAGGTACCAGCAGCTCCCTGGCAGCAAGGCCTCCAGGCCAAGGAGTCCAGACGTGAGCTTCACACAGCAGCTCTTCCCGCTTCAGCTCAGGCCTTGCCGAACCTGGGGGAAAACAAAAAGCAGCCCACCCCAGCCATGGAGGCGAAAGTGCAGGTGAAGCAGTCCAAACACGTCAGGGATGTTGTTTGGGACGAGCAGGGCATGACATGGGAGGTTTACGGTGCTTCCCTCGATCCAGAATCCCTGGGAATTGCCATCCAGAACCACTTACAGAGACAAATACGGGAACACGAGAAACTGATCCGGGCCCAGAACAGTCAGACCCGGAAATCCATTTGCTCGGATACATCCTCAAATAAAAAACTGAAAGGGAGGCAGCACAACATATTCCAGTCCATGCTGCAGAATTTTAGGCGTCCTAATTGCTGCGTCCGACCTGCTCCCTCTTCTGTGTTAGACTGACGTGGTTTGCAGGGGTGCATAGATGTCTGGGGTGGTAGAGAGAATCCCTCCCCCCAAGTCTTGAGTCCTGCTGTTCAGTTGTGTTATTGGGGTTGTGATGCAGCAACAGTGGAAAATTATTCCCCTTTGTTTTCTGAGTAGCCACGCGCTCCATCACGCCGTTGTTATTGCCACAGCTGGTATATTTCCACATTATGCCCCCATCCTGACTACTGTCAGATGAAAAGCTAGGCACTTAGCAAAAGCACAAATTTAAATTGCCACCTTGCTGTGGGGAGAGCAGCACCTTCTGATAAAGCAAGAAGCAGAGAGATTGTCAGAATTATTGTGGGAAGTTATTTGTGTGCATCACGAGATCTTATACAAAGGGGTGGGCTGGGGAAGCTGGGTGGAGTGAAACTAAGGTTCCACAGCTGTAAAGACCTAACACAAGACAACTTTCCTGGTGTGTAAGTTACCCATGCTGAGGCAAGTCCATGAAAAGGCTACAGACATTGATCACTGAGCAGTCTCACTTCTGTTGATACTGTGGGGCACCGTTCTCGTGTGAGCCCCAGAGAGCCAGGCCTTCCCCTCCCATTGAAATGGAGAACCAGGCAAAGAGTGAGGATCAAGGCTGAAGGATTATCTTTTGGAAGAATGGGATTTTGATGGCTAGAAGGGGAGGTGAGAGAGGGATATATTCTGCAGGCTTTTTCTCCCCTGCATCAGTCATGCTTAAGGTATAAGCATGCAATGCACACAGGGCAGACGAGGCACGAGAGAGCATGTCAGTAGATGTACCCGCATCTGACGGGACAATGCCCTCACTCGTGCTGTGGCACTCCAGCCGGGTCTTTCAAAAGCAGCGAGCCGTTCTGGCTCCACAGCCGGCGTGGGCAGCCCCTGCTCCCAGCCTCCCGCAGCACTGAGCACCTCTCCTGTAAATGAGTCTTTAAAGTGATATGGATCTTTCTTCTCTCTCCAGAGATGCACAGTAATGTTTTCCCGCAGGTGCAGGCTATCCTGTGCATCTGGGTCCACGAGCCTACATGTCTAGTGTGTTACACTGGTTATTTTCCTTTTAGGTTCTTAGCCAAATCTAGGGGGTTTTTGCAGTATTTTGGTGCTTTTCTTGCTGCCTTTCATAAACCAAGTAGCATTTATTTAGCCTGTGTGTATTTTGTTTTACCTAATGCTCTCTATATTATAAACCATTATATTGTTAACTTGAAACATTTACTTGACAAAAGTACTGAAAGCTTGAGACAATCTTTGCTGTATTTCTAATGTTAGAAAAGTTGTAGAAACTGCTAATAAAAGGTAGCTTAGTGACTGTTTCTCCAGAAGTGTGATATACAATAATGTCTCAAATGTACGTTGGTCACATTTCTCACCTTAATAATATTTTTCAGCCTGGGAAATATGTTTCCCACTAGCTTTTTATTCTGTCCACTAGAGCTCATGATGGGAGGCTGGGGAACTCCTGCAGTTTGCAGAAAATTTAGTTTTCAATCCTGCAAAGCACTGAGGATTCGGATATTGTGCTCCTACAGAGTACTAGAGTTAAATAGGGGTTGTTTTTATTCCATTAAAGACTTTTCATGAATCACAATGATAATTTATTTCTGTCTCTAGTAACACACACCTGACTTACTCTGTAGATCTTACTCTTAAAACTTACTCTGTAAATCTTACAGTTTTACACAGTGTAAATGAGTCTTAATATCTTTTTTTTTCTTTTTTTTTTTTTTTTTCTGTGAAGCAGACCTGAAGTGGTCCCCTTTTACTTAGGAGGCCAGACTTTTTGAGTATGTGAACTGCCAAACCTTCAAAGCAGCTGGTTAGGGGCAATTTTTCCCCAGCAGAGAGGCAAAATACTGTAAGATGCAATATTTTAACTCAGTTCAGTGAAAGGTGTTGCCCCTAGGCGTAGTACTGAGTTGACTCCTGTTTTTCCTCTGTTATGTATTTGGGGGCTTTATGGCACATCCTTGTTCCATTTCTGTACATTATTTCAAGTCCTCTCTCACTTGATGCTGAACTGCTAATTCTGCAATACTACATTAGAGACTGTCTTCCCGCCTCTCCCTACCAGGAGGAAAGTCTCCTACCTTTTTTCTGTTGGTACTACTGTTTCCATCCCCTTCCTAGCAGTGTCTGAGATGTGAGTTTCATGTGAAATTTTGTGCGGGATTAATATTGGCAGTATCAATAGGTCAGGTTAGTTGACAAGTTCAGTGTCTCTTCCCATGTTGTGTCCATGTCAGCCCTGCAGAGGTTCCTCAAGTTGTCCGCAGTGTTTGCTGTGTCCTGTCCAGGTCCAAGGCTTTGCGCTGCTCCTTTCACCTCCCTTCTACCTCCTCCCTCGCTAGCTGCTGCCACCCAGCCTGTCTTCCTGTGAAATGGTGTCCCTTGGCTCAGCTCACGTCCCTCTGCACTGCCCCCCTTGCTGTAGCACTGTGAGCCAGCTTACTCTGAACTGTCCCTTTACAAATATGCTCAGTCTGAATATATAAATGCATTGTCATATTTTTTTCCAGAGGAGAATAAATGGCTATCACGCATTCACCGATTTCCATGAACTTTATCCTTTAGCTTAAGCTCTCCAAAATATTTCTAGCATATGGGTATGAGTTGCTTTATTGAGACCAAACTGGGCTTAGCAATGAATGAGCAGGGTGCTGAGCCAGCACTGGAATTAATTTTTCTTCATGAGGAATGGGAGATCTCTCCTGGTTCCCTGCAGCTGCTTCCAGCTGTGAGTGTTCACTACCCACACCTCCCTCCCCACCCCAAACAACATTTCTTCCAGGAAAATTTCATCAATACATATGTACCACAAAATGCCGATGGGCAAGTTACTAAGTGGATGCATCGGAACAACTGCATGGGTATAACTGGAAAAACCATAGTGGTCAGCAGAGCACTGTGCTTTTGTATTTTGGGAAATACAAGTGCAAAGACAAACTGCAAAATGTCTGTGAAGCTGTCTGGTGGGCACAGAAGTCCTGCAGGCATGTGTTTGAAGCCAAGCAATAACATGTCAAAAACCAACACACAAAAATGAGTCAATAATCACAAGCATACCTCATGGAAAATATTTTAGGTTTTCACTTTGTCTTGCTAGGGCAGACTGTAGGCAACCTGCTAGTTTAATGCTGGTAATTTATGCCGTCTCCTGCGTACAATGTGTAGATGACAATGTGAATCCTTGTAGGGATGATGCATCTTTCACCAGCAGCAAAACAGAACCATGGTTTTGTTAGCGATTAGCAAATATTATACGAGTGGTCTTGTAGAAGCCAAAAAAGACTGTTCTTGGTGTCACGTCAGCGTCAAAAATGAAAGTGTGCTTGGAGTAGCGGTATGGCAGAGGGTAGAGGGAGATGATTCACGTGCCCCCACTCTTTTTCTCTGCCCAGTGACTCAGAATCACATTGCATTGGTTGGATGGTTAACAGCCAAGGAAATCCATTTGGGCTAATAAAAAGAGGGTTCAAAACAGAAAGTACTTTGTCATTCCCAAGATTAAATCTGTATGGAAAAAAAAATTAAAGAGAAAAAGATCTGTGTTGCAGCCTAGCCAGTTGAAGTAACTCTTAAATTCAGTTTGTTGCAAGATGAGAAATTTTGGGAAACAAGCTAATTGTCAGGAAACTTGTCCTTGTTGGTCGCATCTTCTGGGAAGGCTGACGTGCCAGAGCCATTAATAAAAGCAGTGAATGAGAATGGAAGAGTTACTTCTAATTTCAATTCAGGAGCTTTCCACCAGGAAAGATGAGAATAAGCATGTTTCAACGTTGCCAATACAAAACCTGAGTTGAAGGAGAACCTCACTGCAGGCAATTTGCAATATAGTCCTGGATTTCGTGTGAGGCTGTGACATCCACCACTGTCTGTGTGCACTTGGTTGGTGTCTGCCAGCTTTGCGTTGCCTTGGGCACAAGTGCTGAAGTCCTGCCCCGTTTCTGCTGAATTGGTTTGGAAAAAAGAGGGGGGAAAGAGCTGGAGGGAAAAGGAGGAGAATATCTGTCTTCTGCATTTCAGAGGAAGAAAACCTTCTTTGGAATATACAAGAAGGAATTGCTAAGAAACATGGTGAGGGAGGGACCAAAAGAGAAGTAAAATGAAGTTGATGTAGGTGCTTTGCAAGGAATTCTCCTTCCTATGTCTATAAAGCCAATGTTTTGCTGAAGTTTTGCCTATTTGTTCATTCTGAGCTCACGCATTTTTCATATTGTTGGTGTCCCATGGTTTTTAGGAAAATGAACATTTTCAAAGGCTTTATATTTTGCTAGTATGTATAGATCTATACAAATACAATTCAACAAAAGCACCAGGCAAACAACCTCAGTTTATTACTGCTGCTACCGCGTAAGACCTTGTAAAATGCGCCATTTGGAGAAGTATGTTCAAGGGATTCGGAAAAGGTGAATATACGCTCTAAAGAGAACACTAGCTTTTATCTTGAATTTCATGACTATGTTGAAGTGTTAAAGTTACAAGTGGAAATCCAAATGGAAATCAGCGTTGAAGTTGATGGGAAATTCAAATTGGCTGCCATTGGTTTTCAGTTTGGAAACTTGATAGAATCTACCATACCAGTGTTTCGTTACTTAGCTCAGTATATGCAAGATTTGTATGAAAGTAGAAATTTCATTAGCTTATTAGCTCCATTGTCTTGTTCCATGTCCATCCTTCTACACCTTTTAAAGATGAATGCAAAAGGTTACCAACATAGAGTAAGTCTTTCACACCCAACATATGGAAACGGCTGCTCTGAATGAGAGACAACTGATTGTCAGGCTCCATGGTCTTAGAAAGTTAAGGGCTATGGTCCGAAGGAAACCTTCCCTTCTGTTTGGTTTGGATTTTTTTCCCCTGTTTTTGTAACATCTCAACCTCTGCCAGTTTATTTTTTGGTGACTGTGTGATGCCTGTCTGAGTGGACAGCACTTTCAGTCATCCCAAAGATATGCACATAGATCCCTATCCAAATATCTCTGGAGTCACTGGAT